GAGACAGAAAGTGAGAAATCACTCCCTGGGGGGATAGCCCCACCACAGTCATTTCTCCTGCATTCTCCTTTTGGGATTTTGGGCACGCACGCACATGTGCCAGGCATGAGTTTTAAGTTGCCAGGTCCGGGACTCAAACTGTGGTCAGCTCCGTGGGAGTTCAGGGACGTAACCATCTGCTGGTCCCAAAGACCAACAAGTATCTGTTGGATATTATTACCCACGCCCTCTCTCCCATATTGCCATGATAACGCCACCACAGGTCTGTCGGCAGAAGAGCATGGGGAACTTGGTATATTACATAGGACATAAAAAATAGTAGAAGACACAGTCCATTTTCTTGGCATGCATAGTCTAGCCAAGAAGATCAACACTATTCACAAGAATAAACACTTTGCAGTGCTATGAAATGTTATTTCTGGTTTCTGTAGCTCTGCCCTGGATCCCTTCCCCAGAGTCCTACCACTTTATAACGGAGGAACGGAATGAGCAGGTGTACAGACCTTGCCTCCACTCATTAACTCTTGTGGTGGGAGTTGCTCAATGCTTGCCAAGAGACTTGCTGGTGGTAGCCTAAATACAACTGCAAAGTTGCAAAATAAATGTTGCTATAAAGAAGAAGGCATCCTAACCGTATAAACGGTTCACTAAAGCAATTTTAGTGCAATAAAGAGACAAAAGATTGGAGAGGTGCTGGCTGTCATAGGTCAGAGACAAGTGTTCCCAATATGCAAAGAATTGTTAACCAACATTTCCTATTAAAGCAATAAATGGTGGGTCTGCTTCTTCTTAGTCCTAAGCCATTAGGTGGAGCTGAGTGAGGTAGGATCCAGGGTGAGGCAGGATGCATGGTGGAGGATGAGGATAGAAAGCCATGGTGACTCAAGGCAAGATGTCTGGGCCCAAATGGAGTAGGGAGGGGATGACCTGGCCCATGCTCTTAAAGCCCGAAGAGGGCAAGGAGGGTATCAATGTGTAGGACGGATATTGGGCCTGGCACTGCCTGGAGTGGAGAGAGGAAGGCAGCTGTGTGGGGTACGTTCAAGGTGAGCTAGGGGATGCATTTCCCTACGTACATGTTCACACATGTCCACACACATCTATATTTTTAAATCTAGTTTTGTATATTGAAAACCTCTAGTTCATACTGATATATCCAGACCCAATTCAAAAGCAAAGATTTATTCTGTTGGGTCATCATAAAAGTCATGATGTATTTTTCTGGGCAAAAATGAGTCATGACTTTTCCGACGGCCTAATAGTTTCCTTCCTGTGCATAGCTGTAGCTGCCTTCCCCAGCAGTGAGAAACCCTCTTAGCCATCACAGATTACTTATTTGATGGATCACTAATATACCCCATCTCTGCCACCACCTCCATTAGCCTAGTGGTTAAGGGAGCCAGATCCCACATGGCTGACCATAGTTCAAATCCCAGCCTGGTCAGCTTGAAAAAGTCCAGGTGCATGTGCACACATGTTCAAATCCTGACAAGTTGGAGTAATGGAGAAAGAAGGACTGCAGGGTGACCGTGTGTGACCACCCTCATTTGGGGGCGCTTTCCCTTTCTCTGGTGAGTGGATACTTCTGACAATTAATAAAACAAACAAAACAACAACAAAAAAAACCTGTTCTGAAGATGGAGATAGATGCCAATATAAATATACTTAATGACACAGAATTGTACTCTTAAAAGTGGTTAAAATGGCAAATTGTATGTTACATATACTTTACCGTTGTAAAGTGTATTAAATTGTTAAAATGTTAAAAGTCCATTGTGATTGTGTGCATTCACATGAAATGTTTAGTTTCCAATCACTGATACGAAAAGCGATGCCAGGTTCCATGTATGCCTTGACTTGAACATTAACTATTCTCTAAGCCCAGGGCCTCCTCTTCCAGCCCCACGGAAAGGAGATTTTCTTGGGCAGGGAAGGTCTCTGTACGCTTCGCGTGGCCAAGTTAACTTTAGGACTCTGTGAGAATTTGGGAATAACTGTGTCTGCCAACATGGCTGTGAACTTCCATTCTTGGAGAGTTATAGAATATTTGAGAGTCTCATTCTTCAAAGTGAATCTGCTTTTAGTTTCTTAGCCAAATAAAGCAACCAACCAAGTGGCAAAACTCCAGGGTATGACTGTATGGGCAGGAAAGGCCAATCCTCTGTTTCAGAGTTCGCTTGCCTGTAAAACTAGAATGCACGTGTTTGCTTATTTAATACTGAGTTTCTGCAATGGCTCCACCAGGCCAAATTCCTGTAACCACAAAATACGATCCCTGAGTCCACATGTAGGTTGCATGTACAGTGCTGCCAATAGCCAATGCTAGGTCACTAGGTTCCATGGTTGAGTCCTAGGGATAAACCAGACAGTTATTTTAAAGATGTCTAGCTATCCTTGCAAGGCACAGTTCAACCAACCAGCATAACCTAGAAGCCTACTTCGAGGTTCCCGTGAGTACCACTCCCTCGTTGGCAGGGTTGGCTCTATGCATCTCCATTATTGGCAAAGAGTTTTACTGTGATGTGATGCCCAGGAGATGCCACCTGCATACACAGAAGAGAGCTGAACTACACAGCAAAGTGCCCCAGCTCCTTGACTGTGCCACGTCAGATGCTGTATGTGTCAGGATAGACATTTTGTTGGCACTTTTCAGTTTTACGAGCTTCAAAATATCTAACTATGTAATTATGAATTAATGGTGTTACTGAATATTATGTTTTTACTTAAACATTTAAAAATTTCTTTTGTGGGATCAGCAGTTGGCGTAATGTCTATGTCACTGGACTCCCATGTAGATGACTGCAGTTCGAGGCCCAGACCCCGTGGCTTAAACTCATACCGGGTGTATGTGCGTGTGTGCCCAGTATCCCGAGAAGGGATTGTGGAGGGGCCATCCCCCCCTGGGGGGTGATTTCTTGCTTTCTGCCTCTCTGTCTCTGTCTTCCTGACGAGTGCACACACCGTATGGCAAAAACCTCTCAAAATTTTTTTTTTCTTTTGTTTGGAGGGTGTGTGCATGTGTTTCTTTAATTAAGAGTAAAATTAACTTCACTTGGCTAATGCTTAGAATTACTGATCTTAGAGCCATACAATAGTCCAGAATTATGAAGACAAGCTTACATAATAGAGCCTTATTATAGAAGTAGATATTATGGGACAGATATTATATAATATAATAACATATACCCTTTAATTTAATATATATGTTAGTGTGTATATATGTGTATATATATGTGTGTGTGTATGTATATGTGTGTGCATATATATATGTGTGTGTATGTATATATTCTGATTTTGCAGAACAGACATTTTTCATTTTAAAGGAGTCAAATTTAGTAATATTTTTAAAAAGTTTTATTTAATTTTAAATATTATTATTATTTAATTCACCAGAGAGGGAGAGAGAGGGAAAATGAGGAAGCAAGCCACCAGATCTGGGACTCAAACCTGTCGACCATGTGGGAATCCATGTTTGGGACTCAAACCACAGTCAGCCATGTGGGAGTCCAGTGCCTTAACTGCCATGCCACCTGCTGGCCCCTATAATATTAATATATAATATACTATATATTATATAGATGTATATCTACTATATCTACTATATAATATCTTATATAATAATATATTATAGATAGTAGTGTATATAATATACACACTACTATATATAATGCGTAAATGTTTGCAGACAAGCACATATAATAGAGCCTCATTATAGAAGCAGATATTATGAGGCAGATATTATATAGTAATATATACTCTTTAACCTAATATATAGCTAGTGTATGTAAATAATATATACATATTCAATATGACATAATATATAATAACATATGATACATAGTAATATATATATTGTGTGATAGAAAAAGTTAAAATGCATTTTGCACAGAAAAAAATCCATCATGACTTTTCTGACAACCCAATAGTCTATGTAATTATATATATACAAATATAGTGTATATACACTATAATCCATAGTTACATATACTTACATAATAATATAGTATGTATAATAATATATAGTAGCATATATAATATACAATGTGTATATTATATATCTATAAAACAATATATGTAATACACATACCCCTTCGACTCTACCCTCTCATGCTAGGTCTAACGTAAGACAGTTATGTTAAAAGGATGTGTGCGTATGTGGGTTACATTTCAGAAAACATGTAACTAGTCTAAGTCCAGACACAAATGAGCTGCGCTCTGACCAGGGTCACTTAGGCATGCCGCCAGCACCTTGCAGAGATGATTGTGCGAGTGTTGGGGATGGCTTGAGCCATTGTTAAAAGGGCCTTTCAGTCCACTCAAAGCTGCATCCAAGGTACCTCACTGTGCATGGCCTGTGGAGGCCCCGTGGACCGAAATCCAGTCCCAGACAGAATGTGCCCTCCCTCGCTCGGCTTTCTGGGTTAGGTCCTCTGAGACCTCATTTTATGAGTATTCCTGAGCACCGAATGTCTGGGACTCGGTCGCTGCTCCACAGATCCTTTAATATCTATTGTGTAAGACCAGTGACAGGGCCACACCCAGGCAGGATGGGGACTGTGCGTTCCCACCGTGGGGAAGCGAATGCTGGCAGTGCTAGTTTGCAGGTCGCTGTTGGTCGAGATAATAACCGCTCTGGGCGAAGGCTAAGCTCCCTGGGAGGACTCCGAGGAAGGCCCAAGGATGCCCTGGGAGGGGGCATGCCAGCCACAGCAGGACGGTGAGAAGCCTCTGTGGCCCACTGTCCAGGTGCCTCTCCCCTGCCCTGCAGCTGACAGGCCAGGGGAAGCACAATCCCCAGGCCCCCTGGCAGCCTGGGTGTATTTCCATGGGAACGCACGGCAGCCCGTGCTGGGCTCGTGCTGGGCGCTGTGCTCCAGCTATTTCTATGGCACCTATCACCATGGCACCTCCTCGCTCTGAGAAACACAGCTAAAAACAGCACATAAAGCAGAGGGGGGCAGCCACTTCCCTGCAGTCACCTTCTGCAGCTGCTGTCATACCTTAGGACTGCTCATGCCTCTTCCGTCTCTAGCTTCTGTGTTTTTGTTGTATGTGACCTTAAAAAAATAAGAGGCTTATTTCTACATCATCATCATAGGGAGGACGTGGCCCAAGACTCCAGAAATTTCCGACTGGACTCTCAGCAGGTGTACTTCCTCCTGGGGAACTCACAGGAAGTGGCTCCTCCTGCAGCGTGCGATCAACTCCCTATCAGGTGTTTTGGGAAAGGGAGAAATGTACCCATACAGGGGTCGGGGTGGGGAGGACTATGAAGCCAGAACACAGATGATCCCAGAAAGGACCTGCGCTATTCCAACGAGGAGGATCACAAGTGCCAAATACCGTATGTTCTCGCTCATGAGTGAGAACTAAGATTCAGTTGCACAAAAGTGGAGAGTGTAAGGGTGGATACCAGAAATTGGGAAGGGATGGATGGGAGTCACAGGGAGGACTTGATTAACAGTTTCTCTAGCACAGTGCTAGAGTACTCTAGCATGGTGGAGTCATAAGAATGGGTGACAACTCAAGGTATACCTCAAGAGAGAAGAGTCGAATATGCACAAGACAAAGCAATAATAAGTGGATGATATGTGTACCGCCCTAACTGGATAATTATACAATGCATCCATGTTTTGAAAAATTGCACTGTACCCCATAAATATGTGGACTATTGGGATAGCCCAGAGCCTAGTGGTTAAAGGAACCAGATTTCACATGGCTGACCGAGGTTTGAATCCTGGCTCCAGCAACTTGAGAATCACGCAGGGCACATGTGTGTGCATGGCCAAAATCCCAGCAGGATGGAGAAATGGAGAGGGGGCTGCTGTGTGTTCACACCTCACTGAGGGGTACTTGCTCTTTCTTCTTTGCTCTCTGTCTCTCTCTGGAAAATGCATGTGTCCTCTGGCAATTATGAAAGATATGTAGAATTATTATATGTAATTTAGAAATTATATATATATATATGTATATAATTATATATATGTATAGGCATATATACATATATATATAGTCGTCAGGAAAGTCATGACACATTTTTGCATATAAAAACACATCCTGATTTCCTTTTTTTTTTTGGAGAGATTTTTGCTATAGGGCGTGTGCACTTTCCAGAAAGAATGAGAGAGACAGAGAGATAGAAAGTGAGAAATCACCCCTCCAGGGGGTATGGCCGTGCTGCCCTCCCTTGACACACATGCACACGCACCTGGCGTGAGTTTAAGTCACTGGGTCCAGGCCTCAAACAGCGGTCGACTACATGGGAGTCCAGCAACATAGCCATTATGCCAACTGCTGGTCCCATGACTTTCCTAATATATACATCATGACCAAATATGTACATAAATTTGTATAAATATATAGTATTATATATGTGTGTGTGTGTGCGTGTGTGTGCATGTGTATGTGTGTATATATATATAAAGACTATATATCTCACTCTATTTTTTTTTTTTGAGAGAGAGTTTTACTAAAGGGCACATGCACTTGCTATAGAGACAAAGAGACAAAGTGAGAAATCACCCCCCCAGGGGGATTCCCACACCACAATCCCTTCTCCTTCATTCTCCTCTCAGGATTTTGGGCACACACGCACAATGCCTGGCATGAGTTTTAAGCTGCCAGGTCCAAGACTTGAACCATGGTCTACTGCATGGGAGTCCAGTGATGTAACCATGACACCATCTGCTGGCCCCAATATATCCATATATTTTTAAAAGGATCACAAACTTTCACAGGAATACAGTGAAAATTCTCTTGAGACCCATAAGGCCAAATTGCTTCCCCAAAGTTTTTTCTCAGGTTAACAATTATCCTTCACAGCAGAGCACTGAGCCCAGTCCTGGAGTCAGGAGGTAGTGAGCTCAAATCCTGCCTCAGCCACGTGAGATCAGTGAGCAACCTCAGAGGTAAAAAATTCTCAACAGTAAAATGAGGGTGAGAGTACACGCCTCATACAGACATGTCATTTGCTGTGACCACCATTCCTTGTTTTTTCTCACCTATAACAGAGAGAATACTAGCACCCGCCCCACTGACACTTTGAACCGGTTCCAGGAAATAAAGTGCTAAGAGCGCCAGAACGCAGCACTCGGTTACTGCTGGAGGAGGACAGCGATGACAGTCAGGACCACAAGGATCTCAGGGCTGCCATGCCTTCCCAAGCCCTGCCTGGGTCTCCTAGGCCTGACTGACTGTCCTCGGTCTGGGCAGGACAGGTACCGACAGATCTGTCCATGCCTCCAGGTTCCACACCACAGGGTCCTTAGGTACAGACAGCAAAGGCAGCTGAGGACTACGGCGTGTGCTTCGAGCAGCTGTCACCACGCAGGAGAGCCATCAGCCTGGATACTTGCTGTGACACACAGGACGAGTGAATTCTCATGGCCTGGAGGACACATCCCTAGATGACTAGTTGCTGTGGGCTTTGGAGTCACCAGCTCTGGAGGCTCAGGTCTCCCTTTGCCCACCTATTAGCTAACGGCTCTGGACCAAGTACTCTCTTCCCTTTCCTTCCCCGTCTGTGACACGGGTACACCCCTGCTGCAGAGGGAGGCTGGCAGTGTTCATAGAGAAAATGGAGGAGAGGACCAGCACTTAGCGTAATGGCTATGTCGCTGGACCCCCACCTAGTCGACCGTGGTTTGAGTCCCGGACCCAGTGGTTTAAACTCACGCCAGGCGCAAGTGTGTGTGTGCCCAAGATCCCGAGAGAAGAATGGAGGAGAAGGGATTGCGGCATGGCCATCCCCCCTTGGGGGGTGATTTCTCACTTTCTATCTCTCTGTCTCTCTCTGTCTGGCGAGCGCACACACTCTATAGCAAAAACCTCTCCAAAAATAAAAGAAAAAAAGAAAATGGAGGAGAAGCCTCAAGCCCAGGGTCAGCATGGTGGGCTCTCAGGCACTGGGGGCGCCCACCTCTCCTAGTCCCCACACCGAGCAGTAGGGCAGAGTAAATACTTTAATGAATAACGGAGTAGCATTTATAATAGGAGGAAACAGGGCCGTTTCCTGAATTTGCCGGTAAGGCTGGGAAACACGGCACTGAAACTCCCAGTTCACACAAGCTGAGGCCCCATTCGGTTGGCCCCTTCCAGTCCCCCCCCAACCCCCCGCCAGTGCTCCACTTCTCACAACTCAGTCTTTGAAGAACAAAGAACATTCTGTTCTCGCCAAACAAATCTGGGAGCTGCTCTCATCTACGGCTTACTCCTTCCTGCCTTTTTATTTTAGAAGAGTAACTGCTCTGCCAGGATCACCGTGGCTGTCCCCCTAATGAGCCCCACTTCCACAAGAGCCCCCGATTTCCATTTGACGACCCACGTACTCCAAGGATCTGGCCCCTGCCAAGGTCTCAGGGTGGAACATGTGACCTAAGTCAAGCCCACCAGCTAGTCCCATTCTCCTGCATGCAGAGGCTAGCTCATGGGACCTGGTTGGTCTCATCGATGACTCTCAGAACACTTCCTGATTATGGGGGACAAAAGTTGAGCGTGGGGTATAACTGCGAGGCCTGGGACTAGTCCAGTCATCAGACTCTGACGAGCAAAGCCAGTATGTACATAAACCTGACATATGGACGAGCACCAAGATGTCATGGCATTTTCTCAGGGCGATACATTTCCATAATGGTACGGTCAGGACTAGAACCCGAGCCCCTGTGTCATACATCGGTTATTAATGTGCTTCGGTTTCTTTTTCTAAATAGTAAGTTATTTCGTTTCCTCAGTTGGATAATACATTTCCTGAGTACGAGTCTGATATTTTCTTTCTATTTTGAACATCCATTGCAGTTGATAAGTGTTTGTCACTAAAGAGTTAACAGAATTTCTCTCCTGGGACCTGAAGTACCTGGTCCTGGGGCCCAGCAATGCTCACAGATCTGCTGAGTACTTCAAAAGTACCAGGCACTGAGTTAAGTGCTTGACATATATAATCTCATTTTCAAAAAATGGTTCATTGTATTTACATTATTCTTGGACCCAAGGGTCAGTGGCTTCTTGCCAAGACCTGTCAGTGGAACCGTTTGGATTGGAAGAGGGTGATCTTGACAGAGGGACAAATCCAGAGAGCGGAGGCTCCTTACAGTGGCACATGGGTGAGTGGCGAGGGCAAGGCCCCTGGTTCGAATTCTCAGCTCTACTTCTGACTGCGCAGGTGGTCGTGGTGAAAGTACTTTGCATATTTCTGCCTCAGTTTCTCCATTTGCCCAATGAGTCTATAATCCCAATACCTCTCAGGGGCTGTTGGAAGACTACATCATGTGAGTCAAACACCCAGGACAAGGCATGGTCTTTCTCTTTTCCCCAGTTTTCTGTAGTCACTGAGCACAGATTAGGGGCTGGCCTCGCATGTATGTGTCCCTGCTGCTCCATGGATAATGGCCAGCACAACCCAGGAGCCAAAGAAAGATACAGGTAGACCACACGCATGACAGAAGTCCCATAAGATTATAAAGAACAGGGCTAAAGGCACAGGGATGAAACACAATGCTCTAAGAGGCTGATCAGGGGGAAGGTTGTAGGTTCACATCCAGAGGCCTCCCTGAACGTGTCGTACATGTGTGCCCATGATCCAGCACTGGCTGAGCTGGGGTTAGACTGTGGCACAAGAATCTGTCAGGGGTGCTACTTTTTTTCTCTGTCTCTGTCTCTGTCTCTCTCACTCATGGAAAAAAATAAGTAAATAAGTTTAAAATGTTTAAAAATTAAAACAAAATTTAAAAGGTAAAATAATACAATAATTTTTTAAATGGAAGAAAGTTTACAAAATAGATATAAAAGAAAGAAAATCGTTTTGTATAGTAGTATAATGTGTCTTTTTTAAGCTAAGTGCTAAGAGAGTCAAAAAATTAAGAAATTTAAAAGTTTATAAAGTAAAAAAGTTATAGTAAGCAAGGTTATTTTATTTTATTTATTTTATTGTTATTATTCTTTTTTAGGTTTGCCATAGGGCACATGTGCTCACCAGAGAGAGAGAGAGAGACAGAGAGAAAGTGAGACATCACTCCCCAGTGGGGATGGCCATACTGCAAATCCTTTCTCCTCCATTCTCTTC